TCGGGACCTCCTTCCGGTGACCCCTCTAGTGATAGGATCTATATAGAGGAATCGGGACCTCCTTCCTCCTGCCGGAGACCCCTCTAGTGATAGGATCTATATAGAGGAATCAGGACCTCCTTCCTCCCGCCGGTGACCCCTCTAGTGATAGGATCTATATAGAGGAATCAGGACCTCCTTCCTCCCGCCGGTGACCCCTCTAGTGATAGGATCTATTTAGAGGAATCAGGACCTCCGTCCTCCTGCCGGTGACCCCTCTAGTGATATAAAGATCTATATAGAGGAATCAGGACCTCCTTCCTCCCACCAGTGACCCCTCTAGTGATATAAAGATCTATATAGAGGAATCAGGACCTCCTTCCTCCCGCCGGTGACCCCTCTAGTGATATAAAGATCTATATAGAGGAATCGGGACCTCCTCCCTCCTGCCGGTGACCCCTCTAGTGATAGATCTATATAGAGGAATCGGGACCTCCTTCCTCCTGCCGGTGACCCCTCTAGTGATAGGATCTATATAGAGGAATCAGGACCTCCTTCCTCCTGCCGGTGACCCCTCTAGTGATAGATCTATTTAGAGGAATCAGGACCTCCTTCCTCCTGCCGGTGACCCCTCTAGTGATAGATCTGTATAGAGGAATCAGGACCTCCTTCCTCCCGCCGGTGACCCCTCTAGTGATAGGATCTATATAGAGGAATCAGGACCTCCTTCCTCCTGCCGGTGACCCCTCTAGTGATAGGATCTATATAGAGGAATCGGGACCTCCTTCCTCCTGCCGGTGACCCCTCTAGTGATAGGATCTATATAGAGGAATCAGGATCTCCTTCCTCCCGCCGGTGACCCCTCTAGTGATAGGATCTATATAGAGGAATCAGGACCTCCTTCCTCCCGCCGGTGACCCCTCTAGTGATAGGATCTATTTAGAGGAATCGGGACCTCCTTCCTCCCGCCAGTGACCCCTCTAGTGATAGGATCTATATAGAGGAATCGGGACCTCCTTCCTCCTGCCGGTGACCCCTCTAGTGATAGGATCTATATAGAGGAATCAGGACCTCCTTCCTCCCGCCGGTGACCCCTCTAGTGATAGGATCTATATAGAGGAATCAGGACCTCCTTCCTCCCGCCGGTGACCCCTCTAGTGATAGGATCTATTTAGAGGAATCAGGACCTCCGTCCTCCCCGCCGGTGACCCCTCTAGTGATAGGATCTATATAGAGGAATCAGGACCTCCTTCCTCCCGCCGGTGACCCCTCTAGTGATAGGATCTATTTAGAGGAATCAGGACCTCCGTCCTCCCGCCGGTGACCCCTCTAGTGATAGGATCTATATAGAGGAATCAGGACCTCCTTCCTCCCGCCGGTGACCCCTCTAGTGATAGGATCTATATAGAGGAATCAGGACCTCCTTCCTCCTGCCGGTGACCCCTCTAGTGATATAAAGATCTATATAGAGGAATCGGGACCTCCTCCCTCCTGCCGGTGACCCCTCTAGTGATAGATCTATATAGAGAGGATCGGGACCTCCTTCCTCCTGCCGGTGACCCCTCTAGTGATAGGATCTATATAGAGGAATCGGGACCTCCTTCCTCCCGCCGGTGACCCCTCTAGTGATATAAAGATCTATATAGAGGAATCAGGACCTCCTTCCTCCCGCCAGTGACCCCTCTAGTGATATAAAGATCTATATAGAGGAATCAGGACCTCCTTCCTCCTGCCGGTGACCCCTCTAGTGATAGGATCTATATAGAGGACTCAGGACCTCTTTCCTCCCACCAGGGACCCCTCTAGTGATGCATCCTGGAATTCTATTCCCTTTCCTCACTGCCTGGCCACAGTTTGTTCATTTTGCACTCATCTGAAATAAATACCCTCAAATCCTTTTCCTCTGTAGTGCTGGCTAACACTGCACCCCCAATGTTGTACTCTCTGAAGGGATTCCTTTCCCTCAGTGAAACTCTGAACTGTAGTTTCCACTTCTCTGACCAATCTTCCAGCAATACCAGATCCTGCTTCATGTTACAGACACCTCCTGGGATATCATTCCGCTATCAGTGGGAAGAACGATCCTCAAACTTGTAGTCATTGGGAAGAATTTCCCCCCTTATAGATAGCTAAAGAGTACAATGGTGTAAGTGAGAACTTATCTGAGAGGCAGAAATTGCTGAACAACCCCTGGTGATCTCTGAAGGAACCCTGATCTAGAACCATAGAACAACCTGAATATTACCCTAAATCTGAACCCAAGGTAATACATTTATTGGACATGTGTCTTCTTGAATCTTGGTGTGCTTTGGGTGTCATCTTGGCCCCTCCCACAGCTCTGGCCTGCACAGGATATGTTCTGCATAGTGATGATGTCACTGATACTTTTCACAAAGTAATATCTGGGTTTGGAAAAGCACTTGGTAAACAAAGTGCATTTATACTCTTTCTGGCCTTTATTACCTCCCTGCTGCAGCATTGGCCGGATGCTGCAGCTTTTCTCCGCCGGCTCTAAGCCTGAGAACTGAGAGATCACATGACTGATAATCACTTGGAGCTGAGCTCTCTGGAGCACTGGGATGGGAAAGTGGTGGGAGTGGCTAGCTCAGCCTCGCGCTGAGAGTCTTAACCAGCTGCTGATCAGGCATATGAGTGTGGATCCCAACATTATTGTCAGGATCCTTCCAGAGCCTGGATCAGTTCTGTGAAGTCAGCTGTCTTGGTCACAGGAGAGTGCGTGTAAATACACCCCTGTGACCAACAACAGAATAATGGCCAAGAGAGCTTTACTTCTCTTTGAGGTAAAATAGCTACAAATGGTGATGAAACCAAAGACATGGAATAAACACTGAATGTACGATGCATTTCCAGGATTCAATTGTAACTTTATTGTATATTACGGAAGATTGATTAGAAAATATATAACTCATCCTAATTGTGGACCATCCATAGTGAAAATCCTTCACAAACAGATGAAATATCAAAAAGTCAAATAACTGAAGACAATGTGGTCTAAGGTTTCCTCTTCACATAAGTCAGATTTGTATCATTCCAATCTCCGTTCACCAAATGTCATTATTCAAAAGATGAAAAACTGTGAAAATAAAAAGGAAGAAGTCATCACAATCTTGTGTCTACCAAACCGTGGTCACCCTTCAGTAGGTTTTCTGATCTCTTTTCATGGAGATGTAATCAGATTGGTGGGACACGTTCCTCATCATTCAGTATGTCTCTACCTTGGACAGTGACCAGATTGGAATTGCTGGAGGTCAGGGCAGGGCTTCTCAGCAGAGGATACAAGCATGGGCTGAGGAATCACTGAAGAAGTTTGCCTTCGTCAGAAGATATGAGCTGCATCTACAGCAAGGCAACCATTGCACAAGTAGGTGGAGGTTCTGGTGCAAGTCGGAGAGATCTGCAAATCAAAGGCCACACTATGTACGCTATGGATATGCTGGCTACCTGAGGCAGCAATAAACCCAAAAACGTCACATGACACCTTACCAATCACATGTGGCCGCTGTATTCATTTTTTTAGGCTTTTTTCCCTCTGCTTGTACCTGGTGATCTGGCCGGTAGCATCCCTCCTGTATTAGAGCGCACCCACTCTGGATGAAGGAGCACAGGGAAAATCTTTGGACAGCAGCATTGTCAGTCTGGGGGGAGGGGAGTGTTAGATGGACTAGCAGATTTAGATACACTAACACATTGAAGCCAAACTCCGGTTCACACTTTAAAATCCATTACAGGAACCGTTTTCTTTCGTTTTGGGATTAAGGTTTTACATGAATATATAAAAGCAGATCATTGTAAGCACCCTGGTCAGTTATAAATGGTTTGTCCCATCCCTCTAACTGCTACATCTGCAGGACAGATTGTTCTGTTGAAAAACAGCAGACACTGTAGCTGGATAACCAGGTGGAAATTGAAGAAAGAAAGCCTAAAGAAAAAAAAAAGAAAAAAAAACAGAAATGAATGCAGCCATCACATTGAAGAATTGGTAAGCTGCAATATAATTGTTTGCTCTTGGTTTAATGGCGCTTTCATCTAATTGTGATCTTCCTGATGGCGCTTTCATCTAATTGTGATCTTCCTGATGGCACTTTCATCGCATTGTGATCTTCCTGATGGCGCTTTCATCGCATTGTGATCTTCCTGATGGCGCTTTCATCTAATTGTGATCTTCCCGATGGCGCTTTCATCTAATTGTGATCTTCCTGATGGCGCTTTCATCGCATTGTGATCTTCCTGATGGCGCTTTCATCGCATTGTGATCTTCCTGATGGCGCTTTCATCGCATTGTGATCTTCCTGATGGCGCTTTCATCTAATTGTGATCTTCCCGATGGCGCTTTCATCTAATTGTGATCTTCCTGATGGCGCTTTCATCGCATTGTGATCTTCCTGATGGCGCTTTCATCTAATTGTGATCTTCCTGATGGCGCTTTCATCGCATTGTGATCTTCCTGATGGCGCTTTCATCGCATTGTGGTCTTCCTGATGGCGCTAGCAGCTGAGCACTCTTCCACTTACAGCACATGAAGTAATGTCTCTGTGAATGCTCAGCTAGGTCACCAAGGGCAGTAGACACACAAACCACCTTTACCCAAGTAGCAGAGACCTTCATTGGTGGGAGCCAGTGGTATCTTATGGGAAATATAACTGCCCCCATGACAAACCTTGGAATGTGTTTCCATTGGCATGGATCCTCTGGGGAGGAAATTTGGGATCTCCATCGAGCAGGCCTTGACATGTTCCCGTAACAGAGACTCACTTCTCAGACATTTCCCACACATGGTGCAGGTCAGGCTGCTGCGATCTCTGTGCACCTTTTGATGGGAGGCCAGATGTGAGTTACACACAAAACGCTTCCCACATTCAGAACATTCAAATGGTTTCTCTCCTGTATGAGTTCTCTCATGTATAATGAGGTCCGGCTTCCGGATAAACGCTTTGCCGCACTGTGCGCACTGAAACGGTTTTATACCGGTGTGAATCTTTTCATGAGTCACCAGATGCGCCTTACATGAAAAGCCCTTCCCGCATTGTGCACATGAAAACGGTCGTTCCCCAGTGTGCCGCCTCTGGTGGATGACCAGACGGGACTTCCGGAAAAAGCCTTTCCCACACTCTGTACATGTCCATGGCCGCGCACCAAAAAATGGAGCTTCTGGTGCGCCAGGAGGAGGGAGTAGCTGTCAAAGCCTCTCCCACATTCTGAACACACAGCCGGCTCCTCCGCACTGTGGATCTTCTCATGTCTGGAAAGTTCTAGAAAACTAGTGAAATGCTGCTGACAGAAGAGACAACTATACACGTTATTCAGAGAATATTCTGTGCTTTGTGTGTCAGCCGTAGTGGGAATCCTGTCCCGTGCTCGGCTCCTGGAATGGTCTATCTTAGGTGTACTTGTCCTATGGTGATCCTTCTTAGATGTACCAGCCACAGCGGGATCCATGCTGTTCTTACTGTCATTTGTATAAGGATTGCCGACACGTTGCCTGGTACAAGGCCACTTCTTCATGGGGCCAAGATTTCCTTCCTTGTACAATCCAGGGTCCAGAATCCTCACTGTAGTGTCAGAAACGTTTTCTCCATCACAAGATGCAGGGTGGGAGTTATGGGCAGATGGACTGACATCTACATCAGACATCCCAGATTCCTCCCAGGAGTCCGGTTCTTTTTTTATACACGTTATTACAATTTCATCCTCACATACTTCCTCCTTCACACTGCTTTCTTGCCTGGTGCTGAGCACCTCCTCCTTACACAATGTAGGATGGTCTTTCCTAAGATGTCCTTCCCCTGAAGTCTCAAGCTCCTCCTTAATAAAAGATGTAGAGGGGCTGAGATCCCCATGTGAGAAGGGTTCCTCTATGAATGGTACAGTTTTATACTGGGCACCATATCTTGATGTAAAAAGATCAGCATTTGTGAGATTCCCACTTTCAAATGGTCCTTCCATACTGGATAGGCATTGTGTGCGATCTCTGTGTGCCCCAGGGAACTCTTCTCCTCCATCAACAGGACAAGGGGAACATCCGGAAGATGCTGAGGAAGAATTGAAGCTGCAGTGATCCTTGGACACAGTATCACCTGAAGGCAAAAAGAGACATAAGATCAGTAGTGCACAGTATCACCTGAAGGCCTGTACCTAGGATAAGATCTGTAGTACAGTATGGGCTCTATGGGTGGACCACCTAGGATAAGATCTGTAGTACAGTATGGGCTCTATGGGTGGACCACCTAGGATAAGATCTGTTGTACAGTATGGGCTCTATGGGTGGACCACCTAGGATATAGATCTGTTGTACAGTATGGGCTATGGGTGGACTCACCTAGGGTGGTACCACCTAAGATCTGTAGTACAGTATGGGCTCTATGGGTGGACCACCTAGTAAGATCTGTAGTACAGTATGGGCTCTATGGGTGGACCACCTAGGATAAGATCTGTAGTACAGTATGGGCTCTATGGGTGGACCACCTAGGATAAGATCTGTAGTACAGTATGGGCTCTATGGGTGGACCACCTAGGATAAGATCTGTTGTACAGTATGGGCTCTATGGGTGGACCACCTAGGATAAGATCTGTAGTACAGTATGGGCTCTATGGGTGGACCACCTAGGATAAGATCTGTATGTACAGTATGGGCTCTATGGGTGGACCACCTAGGATAAGATCTGTTGTACAGTATGGGCTCTATGGGTGGACCACCTAGGATAAGATCTGTTGTACAGTATGGGCTCTATGGGTGGACCACCTAGGAGAAGATCTGTTGTACAGTATGGGCTCTATGGGTGGACCACCTAGGATAAGATCTGTTGTACAGTATGGGCTCTATGGGTGGACCACCTAGGATAAGATCTGTTGTACAGTATGGGCTCTATGGGTGGACCACCTAGGATAAGATCTGTTGTACAGTATGGGCTCTATGGGTGGACCACCTAGGATAAGATCTGTTGTACAGTATGGGCTCTATGGACTGGACCACCTAGGATAAGATCTGTTGTACAGTATGGGCTCTATGGGTGGACCACCTAGGATAAGATCTGTTGTACAGTATGGGCTCTATGGGTGGACCACATAGGATAAGATCTGTTGTACAGTATGGGCTCTATGGGTGGACCACATAGGATAAGATCTGTTGTACAGTATGGGCTCTATGGGTGGACCACCTAGGATAAGATCTGTTGTACAGTATGGGCTCTATGGACTGGACCACCTAGGATAAGATCTGTTGTACAGTATGGGCTCTATGGGTGGACCACCTAGGATAAGATCTGTTGTACAGTATGGGCTCTATGGGTGGACCACCTAGGATAAGATCTGTTGTACAGTATGGGCTCTATGGGTGGACCACCTAGGATAAGATCTGTTGTACAGTATGGGCTCTATGGGTGGACCACCTAGGATAAGATCTGTTGTACAGTATGGGCTCTATGGGTGGACCACCTAGGATAAGATCTGTTGTACAGTATGGGCTCTATGGGTGGACCACCTAGGATAAGATCTGTTGTACAGTATGGGCTCTATGGGTGGACCACCTAGGATAAGATCTGTTGTACATGGGCTATGGGTGGACTCTATGGGTGGACCACCTAGGATAAGATCTGTGAAGACATGAAGGACAGAAGGTGTGAAGAGTTAGAAACTATGTTCTCTATCCTCCACACATTCACACACTATGCTCTCTACTATCCTCCACACATTCACACACTATGTTCTCTATCCTCCATACATTCACACACTATGCTCTCTATCCTCCACACATTCACACACTATGCTCTCTATCCTCCATACATTCACACACTATGTTCTCTATCCTCCATACATTCACACACTATGCTCTCTATCCTCCACACATTCACACACTATGATCTCTATCCTCCATACATTCACACACTATGCTCTCTATCCTCCACACATTCACACACTATGATCTCTATCCTCCACACATTCACACACTATGATCTCTATCCTCCATACACATTATGTAATGTCAGAATGTAGAGCAAACAGAGACAAGAGTGACACAAGCAGAACACGATGAGGACCCCACCTACAGGAAAGATCAGTGGAGTGGGCTTTAGGAGACACCCTATGGGCCATCTGGTGAGCCTCTACCTCCAGTACTCAGGACTGATGTATAAACCTTAGGGGATAGTGGTTAGGATCTGATGTGATGGGTTAGGGTTAGTCGTTAGGGTCTGATGTGAAGGGGTTAGGGTATCTGATGTGATGGGTTAGTGTCTGATGTGAAGGGTTAGGATTGGTGGTTAGGATCTGATGTGAAGGGTTAGGGTTAGTGGTTAGGGTCTGATGTGAAGGGTTAGGGTTAGTGGTTAGGGTCTGATATGCAGGATTAGGGTTGGTGGTTAGGGTCTGATGTGAACGGTTAGTGGTTAGGGTCTGATGTGAAGGGTTAGGGTCTGATGTGATGGGTTAGGGTCTGATGTGATGGGTTAGGGTCTGATGTGATGGGTTAGGGTCTGATGTGATGGGTTAGGGTCTGATGTGATGGGTTAGGGTCTGATGTGATGGGTTAGGGTCTGATGTGATGGGTTAGGGTCTGATGTGATGGGGTTAGTGGTTAGGGTCTGCTGTGATGGGTTAGGGTTGGTGGTTAGGGTCTGATGTGAAGGGTTAAGGTTGGTGGTTAGGGTCTGATGTGAAGGGTTAGGGTTGGTGGTTAGGGTCTGATGTGAAGGGTTAGGGTTAGTGGGGTTTAGGGTATGTTGTGATGGGTTAGGGTTAGTGGTTAGGGTCTGATGTGATGGGTTAGGGTTAGTGGTTAGGGTCTGATGTGAAGGGTTAGGGTTGGTGGTTAGGGTCTGATGTGAAGGGTTAGTGGTTAGGGTCTGATGTGAAGGGTCAGGGTTGGTGTTTAGGGTTGGTGGTTAGGGTCTGATGTGATGGGTTAGTGGTTAGGGTCTGATGTGAAGGGTCAGGGTTGGTGTTTAGGGTTGGTGGTTAGGGTCTGATGTGATGGGTTAAGGTTGGTGGTTAGGGTCTGATGTGAAGGGTTAGGGTTAGTGGTTAGGGTCTGATGTGAAGGGTTAGGGTTGGTGGTTAGGGTCTGATGTGAAGGGTTAAGGTTGGTGGTTAGGGTCTGATGTGAAGGGTTAGGGTTAGGTTAGGGTTAGGGTCTGATGTGAAGGGTTCAGGGGTCTGATTGATGAGGGTTGGTGTTGAGGGTTGGGTTTAGGGTCTGATGTGATGGGTTAGGGTTAGTGTTTAGGGTTGGTGGTTAGGGTCTGATGTGAAGGGTTAAGGTTGGTGGTTAGGGTCTGATGTGAAGGGTTAGGGTTAGTGGTTAGGGTATGTTGTGATGGGTTAGGGTTAGTGGTTAGGGTCTGATGTGATGGGTTAGGGTTAGTGGTTAGGGTCTGATGTGAAGGGTTAGGGTTGGTGGTTAGGGTCTGATGTGAAGGGTTAGTGGTTAGGGTCTGATGTGATGGGTCAGGGTTGGTGTTTAGGGTTGGTGGTTAGGGTCTGATGTGAAGGGTTAGGGTTAGTGGTTAGGGTTAGTGTTAGGGTTAGGATGTGAGGGTTAGGGTCTGATGTGATGGGTTAGGGTTAGTGGTTAGGGTCTGATGTGATGGGTTAGGGTTAGGTGGTTAGGGTCTGATGTGAAGGGTTAGGGTTGGTGGTTAGGGTCTGATGTGAAGGGTTAGTGGTTAGGGTCTGATGTGATGGGTCAGGGTTGGTGTTTAGGGTTGGTGGTTAGGGTCTGATGTGAAGGGTCAGGGTTGGTGTTTAGGGTTGGTGGTTAGGGTCTGATGTGAAGGGTCAGGGGTGTTTAGGGTTGGTGGTTAGGGTCTGATGTGATGGGTTAGGGTTAGTGTTTAGGGTTGGTGGTTAGGGTCTGATGTGAAGGGTCAGGGTTGGTGGTTAGGATCTGATGTGCAGGATAGACTAGCTGGCCTAAATATTTCAACAGATACTGAAACAAGAGTGTAAGCTCTGTTGGTAAAGCGCAGAGGAATACACAGGAGATAGCTGGACAAGGATGGAGTTACTCCATTCTGACTACCCATAGGACTGGGTGGGGGTGCAGAGTACATACATGGGCCTGGCCAGGGCTCGGATCTGACTGTCCATAGGACTGGATGGGGGTGCAGAGCACATACATGGGCCTGGCCAGGGCTCGGATCTGACTGTCCATAGGACTGGATGGGGGTGCAGAGCACATACATGGGCCTGGCCAGGGCTCGGATCTGACTACCCATAGGACAGGATGGGGGTGTGAAGCCCGATGGGTGGAAGATGGTGCCGGGGACTACACTATAACTGCACCAATACAGAATTCCATGTGAATATTTCTGGGATTGTGGTGATCCTTTTCTTGTAGATGAGGGACAAAATATAACTGCTACTCCAAACATATAAAAATGACACAATAAACCTCATCCTACCATGTGACAGAAGGGGGCGCTGACAAGTCACTTCATTTTGGGCATCAAAAGATCCCTAGAAAGATACAAAGAGTCATGAATAGGATGAATGACATTGAATATGGCATCCATCCATTACACACAATGATACATCCCATCACTCCCATCCATCCATCACACACAATGATACATCCCATCACTCCCCCATCCATCCATCCATCACACACAATGATACATCCATCACTCCCATCCATCCATCCATCCATCACACACAATGATACATCCCATCACTCCCATCTATCCATTACACACAATGATACATCCCATCACTCCAATCCATCCATTACACACAATGATACATCACTCCCATCCATGATATATCCCATCACTCCAATCATCCATTACACACAATGATATATCCCATCCCCATCACTCCATCACACACAATGATACATCCATCACATCACACACACAATGATATATCCCATCACTCCCATCCATCCATCACACACAATGATATCCCATCACTCCCATCACACACACAATGATATATCCCATCACTCCCATCCATCACACACAATGATATCCCATCACTCCCATCCATCCATCACACACAATGATATATCCCATCACTCCCATCCCATCCATCACACACAATGATATATCCCATCACTCCCATCCATCCATCACACACAATGATACATCCCATCACTCCCATCCATCCATCACACACACATGATATATCCCATCACTCCCATCCATCACACACAATGATACATCCCATCACTCCCATCCATCCATCACACACAATGATATATCCCATCACTCCCATCCATCCATCACACACAATGATACATCCCATCACTCCCATCCATCACACACAATGATACATCCCATCCATCCATCCATCACACACAATGATACTTCCCACACAATGATCCATCCATCACACACAATGATACATCACTCCTCATCCATCCATCACACACAATGATACATCCCATCACTCCCCATCCATCCATTACACACAATGATACATCCCATGACTCCCATCTATCCATCACACACAATGATACATCCCATCACTCCCATCCATCCATTACACACAATGATGATACATCCCATCACTCCCATCCATCCATCACACACACATGATACATCCCATCACTCCCATCTATCCATCACACACAATGATACATCCCATCACTCCCATCCATCCATCACACACAATGATACATCCCATCACTCCCATCCATCCATCACACACACAATGATACATCATCACTCCCATCCATCATCACACACAATGATACATCCCATCATCCATCCAATCCATTACACACAATGATACATCCCATCACTCCCATCTATCCATCCACACACACAATGATACATCCCATCACTCCCATCCATCCATTACACACATCATCCCATCACTCCCATCCATCCATCATCACACACAATGATACATCCCATCACTCCCATCCATCCATCCAATTACACACAATGATACATCCCATCACTCCCATCCATCCATCCATTACACACAATGATACATCCCATCACTCCCATCCATCCATCCATCCATTACACACAATGATACATCCCATCACTCCCATCCATCCATTACACACATGACACACAATGACATCACTCCCATCCATCCATCCACCCATTACACACAATGATATATCCCATCACTCCCATCCGTCCATCACACACAATGATACATCCCGTCACTCCCATCCATCCCATCACACACAATGATACATCACTCCCATCCATCCATTACACACAATGATACATCCCATCACTCCCATCCATCCATTACACACAATGATACATCACTCCCATCCATCCATTACATGATACATCACTCCCATCCATCCATTACACACAATGATACATCACTCCCATCCATCCATACACACAATGATACATCACTCCCACCATCACCGATACATCACTCCATCCTCCATTACACACAATGATATATCCCATCACTCCCATCCATCCATTACACACAATGATACATCACTCCCATCCATTACACACAATGATACATCCCATCTCTTCCATCCATTACACACAATGATACATCCCATCACTCCCATCCATCCATTACACACACAATGATACATCCCATCTCTTCCATCCATTACACACAATGATACATCACACTCCCATCCATTATCACACACAATGATACATCACTCCCATCACTCCCATCCATCCATCACACACACAATGATACATCCCATCACTCCCATCCATCCATCCATTACACACAATGATACGTCACTTACCCGTCCTGTCAGCAGCTCTGTGATTTTCTGAATCAGTTCGAGGATTTTCTGCTCACTGCTTGTCTCAGAAATAACTGGCAGAGGCTTGGAGCCCAGAAGACTCTTCCTGAGAGGAGTGACATGACCCCCATTCTTCTTCACCACAATGTAATCCTATAATACACAACGAGAACACCCGACTTATGTTATAGAGAGAGAGACCCTCCATATAAGCACACCCCAATCACCCTCTCCGGTCAGGTCTGTGTGATGTCATGTGACCTCCCAGAATCCTCCTCACCTCTCCGGTCAGGTCTGTGTGATGTCATGTGACCTCCCAGAATCCTCTTCACCTCTCCGGTCAGGTCTGTGTTTTATTAATAGATTTAGGAGTGATGTCATGTGACCTCCCAGAATCCTCCTCATCTCTCCGGTCAGGTCTGTGTTTTATTAATAGAGATAGGAGTGATGTCATCTGACCTCCCAGAATCCTCCTCACCTCTCCGGTCAGGTCTGTGTGATGTCATGTGACCTCCCAGAATCCTCCTCACCTCTCCGGTCAGGTCTGTGTTTTTATTAATAGAGGAGTGATGTCATGTGACCTCCCAGAATCCTCCTCACCTCTCCAGGTCAGGTCTGTGTTTTATTAATAGAGATAGGAGTGATGTCATCTGACCTCCCAGAATCCTCCTCACCTCTCCGGTCAGGTCTGTGTTTTTTATTCATAATAGAGATAGGAGTGATGTCATCTGACCTCCCAGAATCCTCCTCACCTCTCCGGTCAGGTCTGTGTTTTATTAATAGATTTAGGAGTGATGTCATGTGACCTTCCAGAATCCTCCTCATCTCTCCAGTCAGGTCTGTGTTTTTTTAATAGAGATAGGAGTGATGTCATCTGACCTCCCAGAATCCTCCTCACCTCTCCGGTCAGGTCTGTGTTTTATTAATAGATTTAGGAGTGATGTCATGTGACCTCCCAGAATCCTCCTCATCTCTCCGGTCAGGTCTGTGTTTTATTAATAGAGATAGGAGTGATGTCATCTGACCTCCCAGAATCCTCCTCACCTCTCCAGTCAGGTCTGTGTTTTATTAATAGAGATAGGAGTGATGTCATCTGACCTCCCAGAATCCTCCTCATCCTCTCCGGTCAGGTCTGTGTTTTATTAATAGATTTAGGAGTGATGTCATGTGACCTCCCAGAATCCTCCTCATCTCTCCAGTCAGGTCTGTGTTTTTTTAATAGAGATAGGAGTGATGTCATCTGACCTCCCAGAATCCTCCTCACCTCTCCGGTCAGGTCTGTGTTTTATTAATAGATTTAGGAGTGATGTCATCTGACCTCCCAGAATCCTCCTCACCTCTCCGGTCAGGTCTGTGTTTTAATAATAGATTTAGGAGTGATGTCATCTGACCTCCCAGAATCCTCCTCACCTCTCTGGTCAGGTCTGTGTTTTATTAATAGAGATGAGAGTGATGTCATGTGACCTCCCAGAATCCTCCTCACCTCTCCAGTCAACAGGTAGAGGATTTCTAGGGTGAGGTGCAATATCTTCTTGCTGTCGCTGTCCATGCTGCGATGGTCATACGCTGGACGCCGCAGGGTTTCTGGTAATTCTGTATCTCGTGGTTACTGCAGCCTTGTACACAAAGAGATACACGTGAAAACATGTATAACTAGATCTTTTGAGGCGGATCACACATATTAGTGCTGCAACATACAAACTAACATTCTGCTTTATATCTGCACGGAGCTCTGACTTACCTGTAAAGTCCTTTTCTTGGTCACAAGCTCCTTCAAGACTTGACCACAGGTTACAGAATGACACCTTCAGGTGAGGACACTGGCAAACAAGCCCATATAAACCCTCCCACTCCCAGCATTTCTCAGTTTACAGAAAGCCAGGACAAAGGGAAGCGTATCCAGTGTCCTCAACTGTTCGCCAAGAGAAGGAACTTTACACACAAGACAAAATCCTTATTTATCATAGAGTACAGGACAGGGGCTTCTATAAGTCTTGACCAAGGAGTGTCCCCAAGGGGTGGTCAACATAACACCCAATGCCAACAAAGCCAAAAGAAGGAAATAAGGTTCTCAACCTATACAGCATCTTAAAGCACCTTATGGCTGAAGCTGTCATCAACAGAGGCTTGAACATCCATCTGGTAAAACTGGTCCAAGTGGTGGCCTGGTGATCAATAAACAGATACCCGGTGCTGAAAAGTCTAAAAGGGTGCCAACAGAACAAGTCAAGGGAGCCTGAAGAGGAAAAGGAGGAATCCAATCCTTCAAGGCATAAGTCTTTGTGATAACCTAATCCACCTAGAGATGTGAAGGAAAACACAAGACGCGCCACCAACTAAGAGTAGTATTATACATCCAAAAGAGATAGAAACAGAGATTGCACTCACATTTATTAGGAAGGTAAAAGCATAAAAACATCCACTTGAGGACTGCACAGCTTGGCAGGGTTGCGGCTGGGTTGGCGGAGCGGAGGACAGAGATACCAGGAGATGGCGTGTGGAATGTGCTTGTAATAGCGGTGGTGGTGTCCTATGATCCGAGCGGATACAGCCGGGGTAAGCCGCATCTTCCTCAGGCGGTGCAGAGCTTGCCGTCAATGGAGTTGGTAGCAGACCGAAGGTAGCACACTTCCCACATCACACACTGGAAGTTTCTGCATCCTCGGTCTGCTACCAACTCCACTGACAGCGAGTTCCACACCAGGTGGGGCTATGCACACAGAACGGGCCAACTCACACACCAATGTGCTGCAGAACTTGGGTCTAACTCTCCTAGCTAGGTGAAAAGTAGTGCATGCAATGCTTATGGACATGACCCCCCCTAGGGAGAGTGCCGCATGCAGAGTTCAGAGGCAACATTATAGGCAAGCCCTGTGTCTTCCATATGGTGGAGTCCAGCGATGGCTTCCCAAGGTGCTGCCGAAGAGTGGATGATCCCAAAGCAGCAATTATACTGTGGCATCAATACTGCCAGAATGAGGAGGGATTCCTCCAGGTGAGGAACAAAGCGTAGTCCTCAATCTTCCAGAAGTATTGTAGATATAAGCCAGAACCTGCCCTCAGCAAAGACCAGTCATCTATAACCAAGGTACAGCCAGAACCTACCCTCAGCAAAGACCGGTCATCTATCACCAAGAGACAGCCAGAACCTGCCCTCAGCAAAGACCGGTCATCTATAACCAAGGTACAGCCAGAACCTGCCCTCAGCAAAGACCGGTCATCTATCACCAAGGGACAGCCAGAACCTACCCTCAGCAAAGACCGTCATCTATAACCAAGGGACAGCCAGAACCTGCCCTCAGCAAAGACCAGTCATCTATCACCAAGAGACAGCCAGAACCTGCCCTCAGCAAAGACCGTCATCTATCACCAAGGTACAGCCAGAACCTGCCCTCAGCAAAGACCAGTCATCTATCACCAAGAGACAGCCAGAACCTGCCCTCAGCAAAGACCAGTCATCTATCACCAAGGTACAGCCAGAACCTGCCCTCAGCAAAGACCAGTCATCTATCACCAAGGTACAGCCAGAACCTGCCCTCAGCAAAGACCAGTCATCTATCACCAAGGTACAGCCAGAACCTGCCCTCAGCAAAGACCAGTCATCTATCACCAAGAGACAGCCAGAACCTGCCCTCAGCAAAGACCAGTCATCATCTATCACCAAGGGACAGCCAGAACCTGCCCTCAGCAAAGACCAGTCATCTATAACCAAGGTACAGCCAGAACCTGCCCTCAGCAAAGACCAGTCATCTATCACCAAGGTACAGCCAGAACCTACCCTCAGCAAAGACCAGTCATCTATCACCAAGAGACAGCCAGAACCTGCCCTCAGCAAAGACCAGTCATCTATCACCAAGGTACAGCCAGAACCTGCCCTCAGCAAAGACCAGTCATCTATCACCAAGAGACAGCCAGAACCTGCCCTCAGCAAAGACCAGTCATCTATCACCAAGGGACAGCCAGAACCTGCCCTCAGCAAAGACCAGTCATCTATAACCAAGGTACAGCCAGAACCGGCCCTCAGCAAAGACCAGTCACCTATCACCAAGAGACAGCCAGAACCTGCCCTCAGCAAAGACCAGTCATCTATCACCAAGGGACAGCCAGAACCTGCCCTCAGCAAAGACCGGTCATCTATCACCAAGGGACAGCCAGAACCTGCCCTCAGCAAAGACCAGTCATCTATAACCAAGGTACAGCCAGAACCGGCCCTCAGCAAAGACCAGTCATCTATCACCAAGAGACAGCCAGAACCTGCCCTCAGCAAAGACCAGTCATCTATCACCAAGGGACAGCCAGAACCTGCCCTCAGCAAAGACCAGTCATCTATCACCAAGGGACAGCCAGAACCTGCCCTCAGCAAAGACCAGTCATCTATCACCAAGGGACAGCCAGAACCGGCCCTCAGCAAAGACCGGTCATCTATAACCAAGGGACAGCCAGAACCTGCCCTCAGCAAAGACCAGTCATCTATCACCAAGAGACAGCCAGAACCTGCCCTCAGCAAAGACCGGTCATCTATAACCAAGGGACAGCCAGAACCTGCCCTCAGCAAAGACAGTCATCTATAACCAAGGACAGCCAGAACCTGCCCTCAGCAAAGACAGGTCATCTATCACCAAGAGACAGCCAGAACCGGCCCTCAGCAAAGATCAGTCATCTATCACCAAGGGACAGCCAGAACCTGCCCTCAGCAAAGATCAGTCATCTATCACCAAGGGACAGACAGAACCTATTCCTCAGCAAAGATCAGTCGTCTATCGCCAAGAGGACAGCCAGAACCCGCCCTCAGCAAAGATCGGTCATCCACCACCGAGAGCGAGCTAGAACCTGCCCTCAGCAAAGACCGGTCATCCATCACCCAGGGACATCCAGAACCGGCCCTCAGCAAAGACAAGTCATCCATCACCGAGGGACATCCAGAACCGGCCCTCAGCAAAGACCGGTCATCCATCACCCAGGTACATCCAGAACCCGCCCTAAGCAAAGACCGGTCATCCATCACCAAGGGACATCCAGAACCCGCCCTCAGCAAAGACCGGTCATCCATCACCGAGGAACATCCAGAACCAGCCCTCAGCAAAGACCGGTCATCCATCACCGAGGGACATCCAGAACCCGCCCTAAGCAAAGACCGGTCATCCATCACCAAGGGACATCCAGAACCCGCCCTCAGCAAAGACGCCGGTCATCCATCACCGAGGAACATCCAGAACCAGCCCTCAGCAAAGACCGGTCATCCATCACCAAGGGACATCCAGAACCCGCCCTCAGCAAAGACCGGTCATCCATCACCGAGGAACATCCAGAACCAGCCCTCAGCAAAGACCGGTCATCCATCACCGAGGGACATCCAGAACCCGCCCTAAGCAAAGACCGGTCATCCATCACCAAGGGACATCCAGAACCCGCCCTCAGCAAAGACCGGTCATCCATCACCGAGGGACATCCAGAACCCGCCCTAAGCAAAGACCGGTCATCCATCACCCAGGGACATCCAGAACCCGCCCTAAGCAAAGGCAGTCATCCATCACCGAGGGACAGCCAGAACCGGCCCTCAGCACACACATCGTCGGCTTTTGTTGGTGTCCAGTAACGTGATTGGCCTAACCTCCTATGGATAATTATTAGTCCGCTTGACCCAAGTTACACTGGGCAATTCCTAGGTGGGATCATAAATAATAAGAACTTGAGTTTGGGCTGAGATCTGGGAATACAGACCAGGCTATGGGGGTAGGAGACCAGGAGTAGGATGACAGAGGGATGAGGTCAGGCTGTTTGGAGGGGAGGGGGATTAAACACACAGAGATCAGGAAGAGGTCAGGCTGCGGGGGGGGGAGGGTACACACAGACAGATCAGGAAGAGGTCAGGCTGCATGGGGGGGAGATGACACACAGAGAAGAGGTCAGGCTGTGTGGGGGGAGGGAAGGAGGGGTGACACACAGAGATCAGGAAGATGTCAAACTCAGGGGGAGGGGGCACACACAGAGATCAGGAAGAGGTCAGGCTGTGGGGGAGGGGGCACACACAGAGATCAGGAAGAGGTCAGGCTGTGGTGGGGGAGGGGTGGCGCACACACAGAGATCAGGAAGAGGTCAGGCTGTGGGGGGTTGGGTGACACACACTACTTACCTCTTCCAGCTGCAGATCTGGCTCCACATCGTACAGACTCCTCCCCTGCAGATATCTGGCTCCACATCCCCCCGCCCCCAGAGCAGAGAATGATGGGAAGAAGCGCAGGGATCTCTGGGTAATGCAGCACTTGCCGTCTTTAGCCGCCATTTTCTTGAAGCCCTGCTACCAACATCTCTGTGCTGTGTGCGAGGTCCCGTGACCGGATATGTCGGAGGAAGCAGAGATAACACAACGACCAGACGATTCTCATCGCCGATAATATCGCCCGATCCATCTAAATATATATATATAGCTCAGGGCGGTAACACAGCCAGACGCTAGAGGGCGCGATCTCATCTCTCACACCGCCACATTATCGCGACATCACTTCCGGCTGCTGGAACGCAGAGCTGACAGTGCTGAGACGCAAGTCA